CTGGCCAGCCAGCCATCTTCCATGGTTCAGAAACAAACATCTTTCCAGGGGCTAGAACACTGACCCTAATCTCCCTTTTCACCCATAGGTTCTGGGATTCTAGGATGTAAATTTCATGGCAGGGCATGGGGACACACCTGTCATTTGGCCCCTTGTAGAGGTAACTGAGTGAAATCAAAAGGCCGGAATTGTACAAGAGCTCAGACTGGATGATCTAATGGTTTCATCTCACCCTTGCAACCTACGACTCTATCAAGAAAGAAAGAAAGAAAAGCTGCCATTTAAACTTGCTGTGTCTTACAACACAGGAACAAGGAGACAGCAAATTATATGGAAACCCTGAATATGGAACACTAATAAAAGAAAACGGTCCACATAATACATATTCGGCCTGTGGAACTCCTTGCCACATGAATTACTGCAGCCAAGAGCCTAGTTAAATGGGATTCACACATGATTGGCCATTACTCTTAATTGCACTGCTCGTTAAGCAAATCTGACACCTTCCATTAGTAGGGCCCATTTTCAGAAGCATCTCAGTTTGCCCGGCTTTACACATTTGGACTGAAATTTCCAAACCTGGGTGTCTGCATCTGGTGGGACTGGTTTTTGAAAATCTGAGATCACCGTTTGGGTGATCACCGACTGATGCGAGGACAGATGTCCTGTCTAGGATAAAAAACAATGTGCAATTGTTCCAGTGTGGAGCCTTAGCACCTCCATGTTTTCCACTCCTCCCCTGAAACGCAACGGGAGAGGCGACAGTGTCTGGGCATGAACACACACCTGGCTGCTGAAGGCTTGACTCAGGTCTCACTATAGGACTGTGCATAAAATCGCCCTTTTAAATAACGATATCGATCAATGTGATATTATGTCTGTAATCACATGAATTGTGGTCCATTTTTTTATGAATGTGATTTGAATTAATTTGTTGGTAACCCTTTTAAGAACCTCTGGAGAATTTGGGGATTTTAACCTTTTAAAATCTATTGCAACGGAAAACCCATTTTACCCTTTGCACCTTAACTCTGTTTAAAGCTAGGTGTGTGTCTGTGCAAAAGTGTGAATGAAGGGGAGGGATGTCCAGGGATTGGTCCCTGCAGACAGCCTGGCTGGAGACCAGCTGCCAGCACCACCTTGATGGCCAGAGAACAAAGCCAGTGAAGCCTGCGATAGAACCCACCCAAGAAAGAGAAAAACTCAAGCGCCATCAAGAGAAGATCTGAGTCCCATCTGCTAGCTACTGGGGACTCATGGTCCTACAGTGTCCTGGGGCCGTGAGACAGCACAGGTTCTATGAACTAAACCATACACAAAAGATGGGAGCAAACCTGTAGCATCGGGTCTGGTCTTGTCAACATCGGCGCATCGGTCCAGATGGACAGGAACCCACCTCCTCACATCCCCCTCTCCATCTCACTCACCTGGCCAGTGAGTGATGGGAAGCAACACATTTCTAACTCGGCTGAGTGTGAGTACATGAGTCTGGTCTTACCAAAACATGTGACATCTTGCCTTGCCCCCCTTGAAGAAAATCCCATGCAATTCCTTTAAATACAACATCAGAGACATGACAGCTGTTTTCAAGAAGCTAAAGGGGCGTTAGAAGGAGGAGGACAAGAAGCAATGGGCTTAAACTGCAGCAAGGGAAGTTTAAATTGGACATGAGGAAAAACATCCTACCTGCCGGGGTGGTTAAACACTGGAATAAGTTGCCTAGGGAGGTTGTAGATTCTCCATCTCTGGAGACATTTAAGAGCAGGTTGCATGTACATCTATCGGGGATGGTCTAGATGGTGCTTAGTTCTGCCGTAGGGGAAGGGGACTGGACTGGAGGATCTCTCGAGGTCCCTTCCAGATCTAATGTTCTAGGATCACGACCAGGGCAGGTTACCCTCAGAGGTGCCTGAGCAAACAGCGGCCACTGAAATGCAGGCACATAACACCGGCGCACACGCAGTCAGAGAAAAGGCTGCTGGGGAGAAAAGGTCACCGCTGTATTCTCTACCTCATCACGGCCACAAAGCTCTGCGGTTGTCGGGCAGGTCAGTTCTCAGCCAGAGCTGGTATATGTGAATGCTGAGAGGGACGTGTCTTCCCTGGGAACTCCCCTCAGGCAGCCGCGTCCCGCACCTCTCTCAGCCCAGTGTCTGCAGCAGTGTCCTGCGCCGAGAGCCAGCACAGGACTGTGCAGTGTAATATAGCTCTGGGCAGTCCCGGGGGGGTTCGCTCAGCCCCGAGCAGAGAAGTGGAATCTGGATGTAAACAGGCCGGAGACCAGCCTGTCTGTGCTCTGGGGTTTTTTAGCAGTGAGTAGTAAACAGCAATTAAGGGCCCTTCCCAGAGGGCAAAGAGAACTCCTGGGCTCTGGGCTGAGTCAGGGAGCAATTGGCTGCTCTGTCTGTTTGTGTGTATCTAAAAAGTGCTGTTGATTAGGAAGAAAACGAGGGACAATGCCCAGGTCTCCACAGCGTCTGAGGCCTGTCACTGCCCAGGGGGATGGGCAGACAGTGACAGACAGATCTGGAGAGAGCTGACCATGGGGGACAGGAATTCCTTCTGCAGGCGCACAGGCTGTGGCTAAGGGAACACAGATCAGTCATTCTCCTCAGGAACGACCATCGCTCTGGGCAGCACCTTCCATTGAGGGATCGTAAACGCATCTAGCACAGGAAAGTCACTCTGCATGTATCCCCATGGTACACATGGGTAAACTGAGGCACAGGGAGACGTGTTTTGGCCAAGGTCAGACAGAGAAGGAGTGTCAGGATGACGGAGCGACCTAGGAGCCTGGGCGTCCCGGCAGAAACCTCTGTTGATCTGTGAAACCGAGAGGGACGTGGACTCCCGCTCGGGCAGGGGCTGTTCATTAGGCAGGAGGCAGAGGAAAGGCTGGGGGAGGGAGGCTGAGCCTTCCCCATCCTCTCCGGATGAATCCAAGGGTCTCAGAACTAGCAGGAGTGTGGGAGCTCCCCACTCCCGGGAGGCGTGAACTCTGAGGGTACGTCTAGACTACATGGCTCCGTCGACGGAGCCATGTAAACTAGTTTATCTGTCATAGTCAATGAAGCAGGGTTTTAAATAATCCCCGCTTCATTAAAATAAACATGGCCACCTTGCTGTGCTGTCAATCAGTTGACAACGGAAGCATAAGGGAGCGACCAACAATGACAACAATGACCATATTCAGTCAGAGGGGATCACATAGTATTGTTCCCCCCGAGCTGCACTACAGTGGCCGGCCCCTACGGAAGTGACGTTGTCCAGGCTGCAGCAGGGGAAGTGGCTAGCCTGGCTGAGCACGTCGTTCACTGTGTACCTGAAGTGACACACACTGACTCCCTCTGGATTTGAAATGTGCTCGCGCCTGCAGCTACGGCTCCAAGGCCGGTTATGCAGAGTCTGGAGGACACAGAGAGAAATGCGGGTCCAAGACCGAATGAGCCAAGAAAGAAACAGATCCCCAGCTGATGGACACCTAAGTGTTCTTCAAAGGAGTCCCATCTGCACGACTAACCATTTTTGGTCAGAGAGCCCCACTTCCTGGTTGGGAAATCTGGCCCCTTCTAAGAGCTGGGATCTGAGTGGTTTCCATTTAATAGGAAATCCCTCGGGGACTTCTGGCATTGGCCATTGTCAGCAGACAGGACACGAGGCTGGATGGACCTTTGGTCTGACCCCATCTGGCTCTTCCCATGTCCTTATGTTCTTAAGAGGCTCAGTGTGCTACCAGCAAGCCCTAGGTTATTACCCTGGCTATTTCCGGAGATTAATTATAATTTTACTGTATCTGATTGTCTTTAAGGGTCTAACAGACCCAACATCATCCTCCCTGTTTCTAATCATGGTGGCAACCTGTCTTAGAGTCCCAGAGTCCCACAATCTCTGTGTTACTCTGGAAAATAATAATGACATTACAAAAATGTAAATCTTCCCAAGATCGTCTTCAAGAGGAGAGAGGTTGAGGTAACGCCTGGGCATGTAAATATAGCTGTCCAAAAGCTTTGGGTGATAACTGACTATTAACATAGAGGTATAGAATCCTAGGGCTGTCAGAGACTTCCGAGTCCAGCCCCCTGCCCGAAGCAGGACCAACCTCAACTCAATCATCCCAGCCAGGGCTTGGTCAAGCCGGGACTTAAACACCTCTAGGGATGGAGATTCCACCCCCTTCCCTAGATAACCCATCCCAGCACTTCCCCACCCTCCTAGGGAAATAGTTTTTTCGTCATATCCAATCTAAACCTCCCTCACTGCAACTTGAGACCATTGCTCCTCATTCTGCCATCTGTCACCACTGAGAACAGCCTCACTCTAGCCTCTGGTACCTCCTTTCAGGAACTTGAAGGCTGCTCTCAAATCCCCCCTCACTCTTCTCTTCTGCAGACTAAACAAAGCCAAATCCCTCAGCCTTTCCTTGTAGGTCATGTGCGCCAGCCCCCTAATCATATCTGTTGCCAAACGAAAACCAAACGGATGGCAGAGATGATCCAGACTGTGATGGCGGAGGGCAGGAGAGGAGATTAGACAAAAAGGCCACCAGCCAGTGGGACATGTAGGGAAGACATGGACCAGGGCAGAGCCATGGCAGAGTTATGGAAGAGAAGAGGCTGGGCCTAAGGGCTTTGGTTACCAGCAACAGGGAGTGCGGCAGCCTTAAGAGTTGATGAGTTTCTCTTGCTGCCACAGAACAGTGTGGCCAGGAACAGATTTGATGTCTCCTTGGCCGTTCTGTAAGGGTATGTCTATACTAGCCCCCTAGTTCGAACTACCTGCTATTCCTCCTGGAATGCGGTTTAACAGGTAGTTCGAACTAGGGCTTTACTTCGAACTAGTGGGTCCCTGCCACATGTAGACGTGGGCAGTTAGTCCCGACTTGTAAATTTCAAAAATGGCAACCAGTCGGGATATTTAATTCCCAGGCTTGATTTGCAACTTCAAATGCCTACATTAGCCTCCCTAATTTGAACTAGGGGGCTAGTGTAGACAAACCCTAACTAGGGAAGTGGGCCCAGCACCCTGACAGCCCTCAACTCTTCCTGAGAGCCACAGCACCAGGAGAAAACTTTTCCCCCACAATGAGTGAAGAGCCGGAGCAGTCTGTGACGGATCTGCTTGGTCTTCACCCCGTAGATGATGGGGTTCAGTGTGGGGGGCAGCAGGAGGTACAGGTTGGCACTGAGAATATGAAAATACAGGGGCATGTTCTCGCCAAAACGGGAAGTGAGCGAGGTAAAGAGACGTGGGATGTAAAAGGCTAAGATGGCGCACAGATGGGTGATGCATGTCCCAAAAGTCTTGAGCCGGGCATCCTTTGTGGGGAGGCGGAAGATGGCTCGGAGGATGTGTGTATAGGACAGAGCAATAAAAACTGCATCCAGACCAGTCACACAGAATACCACAAAGAGGCCGTAGTAGCTACTGATGCGGATGTCGGCACAGGCCAGTTTCACCACAGCCATGTGCTCGCAGTGCGTGTGGGGGATGATGTTTGTTCTGCAATATGGCCACTGCCTGGCCAGCAGGAGATAGGGCAGGACGATTATGCCCCCACGGAGCAGCATGGCCAGAGCGAGTGTGGCCACCACACGGTTTGTGAGGATGGTGGAATGTCTCAGGGGGTGGCAGATGGCCACGTAGCGATCATACGCCATGGCCACGAAGAGCCCCGACTCAGTCATGAAGAAGCCATGAATGACATACAGCTGGGTGAGACAGGCGCTGAAATCAATCTCCCTGGACTTGAACCAGAAGATGCTCAGCGTTTTGGGCAGGATGGATGTCACCAGGACCAGGTCGTTGATGGCCAGCATGCAGAGGAAATAGTACATGGGCTCATGGAGTCTTGGCTCTGTCTTCACAATGTATAGGATGGCGACGTTCCCCAAGATGGCTACGATATACATGGCGCAGAAGGGGATGGAGATCCAGACATGGGCTGCCTCCAGGCCAGGGATGCCCAGCAGGATGAAGGTGGAGGGGTTGGTGAATTCGGTTGCATTAGAATCTGACATGGAGTAGACAAGAAGTCGGTGAACTCTGCAGTAGGTGGGTATCTCCTGCCTATACAGCAACTTGTACCTGAGTTCTAGGATGATGGTCGCAGTACCAATGCCTGGGAGGAGAGACAGCGGTAATATGAGATTTTACACGTGCTACTAGAGGCTGTTCTCATCCATTAAGCGGGCTGATCGCTCATCACACACCGAAATACAATATGAGATATAGGGATTCCCCTATTCACTCCGTTGCTCCAAATCTACATGCAACAACATGCTCTGGGTATGTCCTCAATATTGGCCACACACGTTTGACAATAAAGGGCAGAGCAGAGAGCAAGGGGGTTGCCAAGTCTGCCAATGAGACTGGCGGAGGCCACCATGTGCAGACAGACAGAAATGTCTGGGACTGTTTAGTCTGGGGAGTAGACAAAGGGGCAAATCTGGGAAAACAAAAAATGGAAGCGATCACATTGGAATGGGCAAATAGAGAACCCCTCCTCACCTGTGGCATCTATAGATAGGGCTTCCAAAGGGCCGAGTCCCCAAACAAAGGATCAGGAAAAAAAGGACGAGGAGGAAAAATGTAGAAAGAAAAACGGGAAAGAAACGTGGAAGTTCTGTCAGAATTAGTTTATGAGATGATTGCAAAAGATTCCCTAGTCAATGACGGGGAACAAACGTGGCTCAAAACCCATCCATTTGCTAAGGAAGAGCATCAATTCATGGGGAAATAGGAATATGTGTATCAATGGGGGTGGGAGGGAATATAGATAGCAAGCCACACCGATTGGAAGTTACGAAAATTGATAGGGAATGTTAAAGACGTTAGGGAAACCTCTATGCTTGACAGGAGTTAGGATCAGAATAGGATTTTTTTTAAATAAGAATCTTCAGGACAAAAAAACTCTTGGAAAAGTTTAAGGCCGATTACTAGACAGAGAAAGGCATTTTAATGTGATGTAGAATTATGAATCCCAGCGTTACCAATTGACTCTTCTCCCCACATCTCAATAAGATCCAGGTCTACTAATTCAGATACCAGGAGAGCCAAATAAAAAAGGAGGTAAAATTAGGGTAATTATGTTTTATATGTAGACATTTAAAAAAATAATAATGTGCTTTTTTAAAAGAAAGGTGTGACAAGGTTAGGAAACTATGGAAAAGTTGGTATGAGATTGGGGGAAAAAAAGTCTAGGAATATAATTAATGCCATTTGTGGCAGTGTCATGGCTCCTTCCCCACTCTGGCATGATAAATGCAGAAGTGGGGGCCAGCAAGTGTACCCCAAAGCCTTATCTACCAGGCTTTGGTATAAAACTTCCCCCCAAGATCTTAAAAACCTAGATCTTGGGAATAAAACTTCCGCTGCCACCACCCAAATGTTGATAAAGAAATCAGGGGAAAGATCATTTGGGAAATCTTACCCCTAAAATAAAAATCAAGGCACACAATTAACCACTGCCAGGTTAATAAAAAGAAAAGAAAGAACTTTTATTATTACAATAATATTCCTGTTGCAACCATAATGACTAGATAGGGAGGTAACAAAATATACTCATGGAGAAACTCCATGGGCCTAGAACTTAGTTACAAAGAAAAGCCAAAACATCTTTTAAACAGTGCCAGATCTCAGATCCCATACCCAACCCTTAAAACAATAAAACCTAACGAAGCCTAAACATGAAGAATGGTGTCTTGGAGAGAGAGAGACATGCTTGTCCCTCTCTGTAGCTGCAGAGAGCTCACTCAGAGACACAAAAGGGAGAAAGGAAAAAAACCCAAATTCCTTTGTCCCAGTTTGAAAAGTCCCACCTACATTCCTATTGGTCACTCCACCTGGCTAGGTGTAGTTAACCCCTTAATCCCCAGGCTGCTGGCTAACCCTCATAATCATGACAGATCATTAGGGATGAAAACTCTGGAGAGGGGTGTGGAGCTGCAAATTTGCTGCTTTTGATCTTTTCCTCACAGACACCTCAAAAATCTCTCTGTGTGGTAGGACTTTTACAGCTCAGAATAGAAGGAAGAAGGGAAACAGCTGCCTTCTCTAGCATGCCTTCCTTCTCCTTGAGTCCATGAGAATTGCTGAAAAGCTATTCATCTGGAACTTAATCTGATGGTTGAATCCAAATCAACTCTTCCGTGGTACATGCACGCAGTAAGGGTGGGATATTTAGGATTTTGGGGCACTGGAGTGATTCACCAACTTTCCTACTCGGTACTGTTTAATATTGTCAGTGCATTAACTCTCTCAATGCTCAATATTTCCTCTAGGCATGCACACTGCAGCCTCATTCTTGGCAGATGCCTAACCCCTACCTGAGCGCACACAGCGCTATCTAATTATGAATAGGTGTCTGGTCATCTGTCTGCTGCATGCTCCCCAAAGCCATTCACAATCCATGGTAGACATTCCGTTGTCCTGTCCAGCAGGTGGTCTGTGAGCAAACTTCCAACTACCACCTTGGATCACTCAGGCAAAGTCATACAAAATAGCGGGGTGCAGGGCCCAAAGGAGACAACTTCCCTTCTCGTCAGCCTACAGCAGGGATGGGCAATAATTCTTGATGGGGGCCCACTCCAAGAATTTGGAAAGTGGTCAAGAGCCACACTCTCCCGTGATATCAATGAAGGAGGTGCAGGGTCTGGGATGGAGGTTAGGTGCAGAAGGGCTTTGGGTACAGAGGGCCCGTAAGGTCTGGGAGTGCGTTTGGGTGGAGGAAGC